TAAAATGCCCTAGTTATTTTTTTTTTTTTGTCTGCCACTGTTGTCCTAATGGGATTGCACTTCACTTCCTGTCCCATAGCCAACAAAGTGAGAGAACAGGCACTAGGACTAAGGGAGAAAGTGAGTCCTAACAGCAGGTACATAGAGAACAATAAAAACCTGAGTTGCTAACCCTTCTATACTTTATCCAACAAAAAAAAAAAAAAGTTTAGGGTTTAGATACACTTTGGATTAAAGCTGGCCATATACCTATAGATTTTCTATGCTCAGATAGAAACATTGCAAGATTCCTCCATCTACGCTAAACTGTGTGGATGGAGGAATCTCCCACTGGGACAAGCTTCAGTATCTTGCTATTCTGCCCCGCTGGCTCTCAAAATACCTGAACAATCTGATTGGATGAAGGCATTGTTCAGGTATTTTGACAGCCAGCGGGGCAGAATAGCAAGATACTGAAGCTTGGCCCAGCAGGAGATTCCTCCATCCACACAGTTTAGCGTAGATGGAGGAATCTGTTGCACATTTTCCATCTGACCCCAGAAAATCTGCAGATAATCTCTGGGTGTATGGCCAGCTTTAGATGCACGTTTTACAGCAAATACATCCCTGAATCTGTTTAAAAAAAGTCAGTGAGTTTTACACATTTGGGCACTGCATTTTTTTTTCCTCCATTCTTCTTTGCATGCTGCTCCAACTCCGTTAGTTGCAAAGGGAATGTGAATGAACAGCTTTTTTTCAAGTCAAGCAACAATTTTATTTTATTTGATTGCGGTCTGGAGTCTTGGCCAACTTCCAACATTACCATTTTTTTCCATTATTATTTAAAGGTGAACTATGAGGTGAGTGATTTTCACTCATCCTCATAGTTCTAGCCGACCTGTGACAATGAGACTGTCACAGGTCGGCTCAGTAGATCGGGAGGTGAGCGAACACATACCGGCGTTCGCTCACTTCTCGATCCTGTGCCGGCAGAGAGCCGTGACAGGGGAGGCACTGGATTCCCCCCCTCCCCACTCTGATCCTCCAGCGCTGACTGGCGGAATGGACGGGGGAGGGGGCGGGTACAGCTGGCTCTGCCTCTATTTGGCAGAGCCATCTGTCACTCACGCAGCTGGGCGGATCCAGACATAATTGTCAGGATCCATTTCAGCTACGGCGTCTCAGTATACCGCGAGCTGTAGCCTGCGGTATACGGAGCTTAGGGTGACGGGAGGATGCTAGTTTGTGTCCTCCCGTTACCCTTAGGAGAACTATGGGGGAAAGCCTTGACCCCATAGTTCTCCTTTAAATTGTCTTTATGCTTGGGGTCATCGTCTTGCTTGAAGACAAATCTTTTCCTAGGCTCTGGTTTCTTCCAGGATTTCCCTACATTTATTCGTCCTTCTACTCCGACTAGTCTTTCAGGGCCTGCTGCAGAGAAGCATCCCTACAACATGATACCATCACTACTGTGCTTCAGAGTGGAAATGCTGTGTTTATTATGAGGTGCAGTGTTTGGCTTACACCAAACATGGTGTTTAGTTTGATGACCAAAATGCTCAGGTTTTTCTCACATCAGACTATAGAACCTTCCCTAGAGCCTTCCACATGCCTAGTGGCAAACTGTTGTCGTCACCAGCCTCCCTTAAACTTGCAACAGTTGAATGCAAAGTATATACTATCTCACCTACGGAGTAGTGGCCTCCCGCTTGCGCGGTCACCTACATTTGTTGGCATATTCCTGGCAGATCTAAAAAGCGTCACACGGATTCTTTCTGTCAGCTATTACCTAACTAAAAAGGCATCAGGAACCACAGCACATGGTGATGGGAATAGGTATGCAGCCGACCCAAAAGTGGCAGTATTCAGAATGTTAATAAACAGAACAGTGAAAAGCTTAGCATTGAGCGTCCTGTTTTACAGATCGTCTTTAGCTTTATTTTGACCCTGTAGACTAGGGGTCTCAAAGTACCGGCCCGCGAGCCGGTACTATGTGGCCCGCAGCCAGCTGAAAAGTCGGGCACACAGTCACGGACCGCGTACCAGACTTGCGGGAGCAGCTACACGGTCTGCATCTCTGTTGGATGCAGACCGCAGAGCTGCTCCTGTCAGCTCCGGCAGGTGCTCTGTCAGTTCTAAGCTCCAGCCGAATGATGATTAGTAAGGTCTGCACTACTGTAGACCTTACTAATCACCACTAGATAACCAGGGAACGGTGATGTGCCTCCTCCCTGCAAAGATGCAAGCAGGTGAGGGAGCTTGGAAGGAAAGGAGGGAGGAGGGGAAAGTTTGTGTGCTGGGGCGGGAAGTTTAATATGTGTGCTGGGGAGGGTATTGTGTGTGGGGGGAGTGTATTATTATGTGTGAGGGAGGGATTGGAAGGGGGGGTGTATTATTATGTGTGAATGGGGATTGAAAGGGGGAGGGGGTGTATTATGTGTGTGTGGGGGGACATTGGAAGGGTAGTCCCCTATATTTCAGGTGCAATTAGGGATTCCCGTGTCACAAACTTGTGTTTTCCTGCAGCAGGAATCCCTAATTTGGCGTTTACATGCAGCAACTGTCACCCATTCAAGTTAATGATCAGGGGACAGCCGTTGCATGTACACGCCTGCATACCGCATGTAATATGATTACATGCAGTTACAAAAACAATCACTATCCCTGGATAAACATTTGTGTATCTAGGGAGAGTGATTGATTCCTGACTGCATGCAAACCTTTCACATGATTACATGCAGTGTGCAGGCGTGTACATGCAGCAGCTGTCACCCGATCATTAATTTGAATCGGTGACAGTTGCCGCTTGTAACATGTGCAGACATTAAAACTGGTACCGTATAAAGTAACGGCCCCCACGGGACTTAAAAAAAAAAATGTGTCCAGTCGCCCCCGACTAAATTGAGTTTGAGACCTCTGCTGTAGACACTTTAATAAGTATCTGTACTTTGAAGGCATATTCAGTGCCTTGGAAATTTTCTTGCATCGATCCTGATTTGTGCTTTTCATTCAACATTTCACAGAGCTGCTTGGAGTATTCTTCACGGTGTAGGTCATGCCATGATACTGACACCAGAAATTGGATATTCCAGATACACATGTATTTATATTGAAAGCACTTGGAGAGCGCGCGCACAGACACACACAATTATTTGGGTGATATAAAAAAGGTGCATACCTATGTAATCTGTTATTTTCTGATTTCATATCATATTTCATCAACATTAGTGTTGATCAGTAGAATACAAAAAAAAGAAAAATCACTTTTATTCAGGAAACATGGTATGGCAGTGTCTGATGGCAGTCCTGTCATATCTGAATGGGACATATGAATGGAGGCAGCAATATGGTCAGTCAGTTGAGGGCCAGGTTTGCATTTGTATAGGGATGTATGCATATTAATGGATTATGTCACGATTTAACACGTTTTTGTATTAAGGAAGCCCATTCAGAATAGGCTGCCAACACACCTAATCAAAGCTGTATAATAATTATACGGCGCAATGCAGAATACCACTGACCAGTTATAGAGGAACTACAAATCCAACCAATAATACATTATACAGCGCAATGGAGCATACCACCAGCTATAGAGGAACAACAAATCCCAGCATTAATACATTATACAGCCTGTTTAATGTATTATTGCTGGGATTTGGTGTTCCTCTATAGCTGGTGGTGTTCTGCAGCGTGCCGCTGTATTATACATTGGTATTCTGCACGGTATTGTATATGGTATTCTGCATTGTATAATACAGCGGCACAATGCAGGATACCACCGACTAGATAGATGTATAATTTCTGGTCGGTGGTATTCTGCATTGTGCCGCTGTATTATACAATGCAGAATACCATATACAATACCGTGCAGAATACCAATGTATAATACAGCGGCACGCTGCAGAACACCACCAGCTATAGAGGAACACCAAATCCCAGCAATAATACATTAAACAGGCTGTATAATGTATTAATGCTGGGATTTGTTGTTCCTCTATAGCTGCTGGTGTTCTACAGTGTGCCACTTTTTTTTTTTAAACAGGAAACTTTAAAACAGGTCCCCCTTACCTGTTTCTGAACCCCTGAAAGTCGCTGCAGTGGTGGTGGCGGCGTGGTCTGCGGGCGTGTGTGTGGTGGGCGTGGCATACGCGGCGTGCGTAGCTCGTGTATGGAGCCGCGAACAGGCGGGTGTGAGCGGGAAATTTACATTTTAGCCGACTAATCGACGATGGAAAACGCTGACAATGTTTTCCATCGTCAATTTTAATCGACTTAAAATCGAATAATTGTTGCAGCTCTAGTTACCACAGCACAATAGTGTGAATCAGCCATAATGCCTCGCAGCTCTGAGGTTTACCAGGCAGCGACCACTGCAATCAACAGGTTGGCTATCCCAGTACTAAAAAGGGAAAGAGTGACTTTTTTCACTTCTACCTTTTGTATTAAAGGAGAACTATGGGGTTAAGGCTTTTCCCCATAGTTCTCCTTAGGGTAACGGGAGGACACAAACTAGCGTCCTCCCGTCACCCTAGGCTCAGTATACAGCTACAGCTCGCGGTATACTGAGACACCGCAGCAGGTCCCGACAATTGTGCCGGGATCCGCCCAGCTGCGTGACTGACAGCTGGCTCTGCCTATCTAGAGGCAGAGCCAGCTGTACCCGCCCCCTCCCCTGTCCGTTCCGCCAGTCAGCGCTGGCAGATCGGAGGGGGGAATCCAGCCCCTCCCCTGTCACGGCAGAGAGCCGTGACAGGATCGAGAGGTGAGCAAACGCCGGTATGTGTTCGCTCACCTCCCGATCTACTGAGCTGACCTGTGACAGTCTCATTGTCACAGGTCGGCTAGAACTATGAGGTGAGTGAAAAGCACTCACCTCATAGTTCTCCTTTAAGTTTCTGAACCGTTTTAGATCCTTGAACATTTGTTGGTTCTACAGATGCACACCTTTTTAAGCAACAGTACAATTCATTTATATAATAATAATAAAAGACAAAGACATTCTCACACTTTTCCATTTAGAACGCTGGTCTTTATTAGACTGTAAATCATCTGGAGCAATCAGTTGAAAAATATCTGTAAAATATTTAGAAAGCATTTTGTTTTGAGGAGAGGGATGAAGATAGCCCTCACATTTACTTAACACAGCATATTTACTTTAAAAAAAATAATATAAGCAGCAGATTTCACAGTCACATTGATATGGTTTAGAAAACAATCATTTTGTTCAACCTGTACATATAGCACTGCATGTCTGGCACACACATTGAGACAGACATGTTCACAATTCACTTAGGACATCTTGCAAAAGCAATTCATCTGCACATTTTGTCCTGCTCTTAAAGGATTTGTATAGCTGTACACTGTTCATTGAAGATGCCAGCTGAATCATTTCATATGATCTATTATGATAGGTTTGCTTATCCTGAAACCCTGCACAGCAGCTGGTGCTTAGAAGGAACTTCAGAATCGCAGTTTTAGATTACCACTCCTTCCTGCAAGGAAAGCTGAGACCAAGGTTTATTTCCACCATTTATTCAATAGGTTTGAACAAATAGATAATTTGTTCCCTATGAACAAGAACTGTATAAAATAAATTATTTTGCTTAAAATGACTAATTAGTGTTCTGGCTGCAGACCATAAAAGCTCTTCATAATATAGTTGTGATGGATCTGTAAGCTGTGCTCAGCTTCTGAAATGCTTTGTGCCGAACATGCTGTGCCATCTTTTAACAGATCTGTCAATTCTCTTCTTCCAACACTAGAAATTCATATCCATTCCATAGCTTAGCAGGGTATGTGCTGAGGATGATCAATATGGATACTTATGGAGACAATAAAATTGGTCAAAATGTGAGATGCCTGATTTGGGCATTTTCAACTGAATCCATAGAGTTTGCTATTGCCATTTCCTAAGTGTTACTTATCTGCAAATTACAGTCTGGTGCTTTATCCATAAAATTCCCTATTGCTGTTCCCCAAGTGCTGTTCATTGGCAGATGACAGCTTGGTGCTTTGATCACAGCTTACTTAAAATATGTGCAAAATGTTATCAGGCCTAGAACGCATCTTAAAGTAAAACATTTTATACAAGGCCACTACAGATTAGCAAAACGATTCACAACCAACCAGCCAATATCTCGCTGTTGAGACATCTACCCATCGTCACCAGTGCCAGGCCCTCTGCTGCTTTTCACATGGTTCACCCAACAGACTACAGTGACTAATGGTTCAGAGTACTCCACTCCCCACCCCCTTCCACTAAGAAATCTCTACCAGAGGCAATGAATGCTGCAAGTGATCAGAAACACTTATCTTCATCCTAAATATGACAAATTAGAAAGATCGGTATACCAGGCACTGGGTCAGGTTGTTTATGGCTAACCTTAAACTGGTAATACACTACTCGAATTTGATGTGAATCCTGCTAACCCGGCTGAAATTCAAGCAGTGTGTAACCTCGTCAACAACCCTCCATTCAACAAATTTTCAGTTGACTTGTTGGTGCCAGTCCAAAATTCCTTGGCTGAACAGTGATTGCAGTCAATCAGCTGCAGACTCTGTTCAGGTATTCTGCCAGCGACACACCGGCCCCTGTTAAAATACAATAGCTCAGCTGGGAGATTTTTCCAATCCACGCTTATTACCCTGGATGCGAGTATTGAACTACTAGTGTATGACCAGTTTAAGGTTACAAAAGCAAACTAGGATCCTCTAATCCACAAGCAGATCAGGGGCAAAACAGAGCACACATGAATCATAATTCACTGTGTCATATTAACAGTTCCCATAAATATTAAGATCCACTGCATTATGGATGAATCAGCATTTTGGATATGTGAAGAGAAATTAGATTTATTGATCTTGTTAAATATGCATTTGACAGTGGAAAAGACTCATGATTTGCAGTGGATCAGAAAATCCTAATTAACACTGTCAGGGCTCGTGTAGAAGACCATTTGTTAACATTACGGCTGCTTTTCTTCCCCGTACAAGTAAACAGCATGCCAAAGCGCTTTCAAGGGATGTCAAAATTCAAGCTGAATGCAACAGAAAGTCTATTGCATTTGCCCATTTACACAAGCCCTAGGTTTGCCAATGCTTCTTCAAACAAAGTGTCAAATGGTTCATGTTCCCTATCCGCCATAAAAGGATTTTTCAGCTTGGACAATGATAACAGTCTTAACGGAGACCCCTCTCAACGTTTTAAAACAGTCGGAGCTGTGTTACATGGAAATGTAATTCAACCACTGGGGGTATAATGATGCGCCATAAGCCATATTACATTAGCCAGGGTAGAAAAGGTATGGGGGTTTGTTTAGGTTGGGTTCACACCTAGGCGTATCGAATATGCACGTTTGTCGCGCGTTTCTATTCGTGGTAGACAAGCGCGCGTTTCCGAGGGCTAGCTGGCTGTATCCCAATGGATACGCAAGCAAAATACGCCCCAAAGAAGCTCCTGTACTTCTATGGGCGTAGGGCGTTTTGTAGTGCGTTCATACGGCCTGTAATACGCCCAGGTGTGAACCATACCCATAGGAAATAATGGGATTTCGGTGAGCGTTTTGCAGAGCGTAAGAACGCGCTACAAAACGCCTAGGTGTGAACCGGGCCTTAGGGTTTTCTTATACCGAATGGTCACTAGCAGGAGGAAAAAACTTTAGTTTATCATTTAGAAATGTAGGCTTATACATCTGCAACATAATAGCAAAACTATCAAACTGGTAAATGTAACTGGTCAATTGGTAACGTGGTGAATGTTTCCTCAGATCATCTTTGGGTATCACCAAAATACCACATTAATACATATCAGTAAATATCTGTTACTATTCATATTTGAAACATTACTCATCACTCAGAATCCTAGATTCATAATACTGGGTATTGTGTTGTATTATTACACTAGAACTGTTGAGTAATATAGATACTGTAGGTATCATATATAAAATAGGATAGATCTAAACAAAGTCTGTTTAAGATGTTATTTTATTCTCCATTTGGAGTCCTAAAACTCAGGGACACACTGGGCTGCTCGGACCATAAAAAGGTACATGTAAAACAACATCACAATACAACTGTGGGTCATGACAACCAATATCAGAACGCACAATGCACCACACTCTTGGCTGACATGAGTTACTGCTTTCATCATTGGCAAACCATCAAATTAATTTACAGTGGGCTAAGAAATATCAGCATTGGATCAGTGGCTGCACAAATGTTGTCTGGTCCAATAAATCCTATTACCAACTGCACCACCACAATAGCAAACTCATGGTTCTTCAGCAATGCTCTTGGGATAAACTCAGATGCTTGTTAATTAGACAGTTTTTGTGATGTCATGTTATGCATTTGTGTGTGGTTGGCTTCAGTACTGCGCAGCTACAGCACCTCTCTGGAAACACTGCCAAGGCAACATGAGCCAACTTAACAGTTCCAAAACAGTCCTGAAAAAAGTTTCTCATTTTATGGCCGCTAAATGTGCACACTTATGTAAACTATTTAGATGCCAGTGGGATTACCTTGAACCTTCTACTGCAAACATAACAAATGTTGAGCTAGCACACCAGGCTTAGATGATTTAAATGCAGGTCCAGGAGCAAATAGCTGTATGCACACCCAGGGTATACAAGCCAGGTAAACTTGGGGAGCAGGGCAAGACCAGGGAAGCTGAGGCACACCAGGGGAGCTAAGGGATAAAGGTTCAAGGTAGAGGCAGGTAACCGGACTCAGGACTGCAAGTAGGTAACAGGACTCAGGACTACAAGCAGGTAACAGGACTCAGGACTACAAGCAGGTAACAGGACTCAGGACTACAAGCAGGTAACAGGATAATGAGCCACATTCCTGACTGCAGGGAGGGATTAAGTACCCTCCCTAGGTAACAGGACTCAGGACTACAAGCAGGTAACAGGACTCAGGACTACAAGCAGGTAACAGGACTCAGGACTACAAGCAGGTAACAGGACTCAGGACTACAAGCAGGTAACAGGATAATGAGCCACATTCCTGACTGCAGGGAGGGATTAAGTACCCTCCCAGGAAGCACCAGGTGGTGGATAATCGCTGACAGCTGGGAGACCCCCGCAGGTGAGCACTGGAGTCGCAGGTTTCAGCACCAAGTGGTGGTCTGATACCGTGTTTCCCCGAAAATAAGACACTGTTATATTTTTTTGCCCCAAATAAAGAGCTATAGAGGAAGTATCGGCTAATTCGGCTCTGTTCACTCCATCGCCGCAGCCTTGCTTTCTACAGCGCCGGCTTCCTTTGCCATCAGGGACAGGGATACCAGCGGTGCAGCAGTGGGGGACATCAGACAGTGGACCGCGCGGTAAAGTACAGTACCATTTACCGGTACACATTACAGTACCATTACATTAAGCAGTGCCTTCGGGGGGGCAGCAGTTGGTTAAGTATGGTAATGGAGTGCTCCGTCACTGCGCTGGCCGGAGGGAGTCCCCTGTCATCCCCTTAATACAGTATGTCGCTGCAGGCTGATACCATCTCTCCTGATCTTCACGTTCCACCTCACATGCTACCACCAAACTAGGTCTTATTTTCAGGGTAGGTCTTATATTACAGGAATCTTGAAAAATAGTGCTAGGTCTTATTTTCGGGGAAACATGGCTACCTGACAGTTCCTGGCTGCCTGGAAACACCTGCAGGCGAGCACAGGAACTGCAGGACCTGGCTCCAGCGCCACCTGGAGGTGCTCTGGATCCTGACACAAGGTCATTTTCTTACGTTTAGAAGTTCATGTTTTTAAGCAAGTTTAGTACATCAGTGTAGCCGCGGACAAACTCTCATATTGAATTTTGGACACTAAGGCCTCATATGCACACGATTATCTGGGGATTCTTGTGGCAAGAACATGTGGATTCTGTCGGCAGGACCCCCATGTGGGTCCATGCAGATGCGGCTGCTGTGCCCATTCAAGTTGATGACAGGGCGACAGCAGCTGCATCTGTGCAAAGCTGTCCGCATATAATTGTACATCGTACGATTATCTAGGGATTGGGAAAGATGCTTGTCCCTGGATACAGAGAGGTTGCGGCCCGGGACAAGAATCTCTCCTAATCAGCAGGTATTGTACAATAACATGCAGACAGCCATAGAGAGATGCGGCCAGTCACCCTGTCATTACATTGAATGGGCACAGCTGCCGCATCTGTATGGACTCACCCATGGCTCCTGCTGCAAGAAACCACAGGAATGTCCAGATTCTCATGTGCATTGGGTCTTCATATCCAAAATCCAATATGAAAGTCTAAACGTGACTATACTGATTTAAAAGGTCACTAAACCCGCTTTGAAAGTAGGAACTTCTAAATGTAGGAAAAAGTGATCTGGGAAACAAACTTTGTTTATTACACCACAAATAACTGCTCCTGCATTCTAAATGCAGCTTAACTGCATGGCCAGTATGAATGATACCATTAAAATCATGACATGCATTTAGAAATGTGCTCTAAATGCAAATTAAAGCAGGTTTGACACTGCAAGTGTGAATGAGGCTGTAAAAAGGCAGAATGAAACAATGAAATCTGACAATGATGGCGACACAGCTTTAAGATAAAGATCCTTCTACTTGTCTTGAGACTTTGTGAATTGAGCTTATTTTGTTATGTTTCACATTTGGTATTTTGCAGACACAATGAGGATGAATAAGCTCTGTTGCCTCATTTCAGCATTGACATTCTGTGTTACTGGGGACAACACACACTTCTAGGCCACTACTGGCTGTTGTCCTAACAACCAAATGGAAAAGCCAGCCAATAGCAGGTCTGGAATTTCTCCCTCTCAGAGCTCAGCGCTGAGGACAGTTATACAAGTAAATGAGTCAGCTGAGCGTCTGTCATTTTAAAGCAACAAAACAATGTTACCTGATGAAATCCTAGAACTACAACACTGAGACACAATAATGTCGGGTTTAACCCCTTCAGCGCCGTACATTTCATAGGAACCTGCAAAGCCAATGTGTCATCACTTTAGTTTTGCAAATAAACTAGTTGTATAGGCCGAAATAAACCAGTTGTATAGGCTGAAATATGGTCTACTCTACTCCTGCCCCCCCTCTCTGGCAACACTGCTATGGAAGGCATGGGAGCCCACTCTGTCCCCTTATGTGCTCAAACCGTAATCAGAAATTCTATATATAAAGGCCTGGAGCCTAGAGGGGTGTATTTACAAAACAGCAAATGTGACATTCACCAAAAAGTATTCTCAAAAAGTAAGTGATGGGCAAAGTTAAAAAAAACATATGAAGCTGAACTCGGGGAAAAATTTACTTTATTGTATATGGTTCAGGAGAAGTTATGTGCAATTCTTCGTGCCCCCCCCCCGAGGAGAGAAGGGGAGTATAAACAACACTTTTATTCTGTACTCTCACAGGAAATGTCAGTCTGAGCTTGCGGAAGCTCACGGCTCATGATAATGCAAAATCACCTGCACTCCATGCAGCGTACAGAGCTTGTTGAAAGGTTGGTGCTTGAAGTGACAACACAGATGGCGCCGTGTCAGATACAGTCCATAATAGAAGTCACCAGCACTCGATATGTGCAAGAAGTAAAGCACTTTTTATTAAATTATCACATGCCTCATACAGCCAACGTTTCAGGTTCACGCAGGGTCCCTTCTAGGCGACAGTGACGTAGTGACCGGAGGACACAGCGGGGATCGCAGACAAGGTAAGAGACTGTAATCCAGAGTGTGGCTCGGGGGTTACCGCTTATGGTACTGAAAATTAACCCCGAGCCACACTCAGGAATAACGCCATGGAGGTGTGTGTATTCAAACATTATTTTGGGCTATACTCGTCTTATACGACGATTATAGCCCAAAACCTATGTTTTAACATAAAAAGTAGGGGGTCGTCTTATACGCCCAGTCGCCTTATACGGCGGCAAATACGGTATTGGTTAAATGTGAATATGCCACATTCTTACTGTCCAAGAAGTTACATTACTCAGGTCTGAACTCCAGGCCGATATAAAACAGACACATTTATGTAACTCTGCTTTTGATAATACACCATGAAATGTATTCTTTAAATGCAAGCAGTGTGATTAGCAGAATCTAACTTATAATCAGCTTCTTGCAGTGCCTGTACAGCAGAGATTAGAGGGGGAGGGAAATGTACAAGGAGCCAGTCAGGTGTGTTACTGTGGAAGCTGATACAAGGAGAGAACAGAGTAAGAGCTCATTAGTTTGCTGCTTCTGATTTTACTGTCCAGTCACGGAGCGGAGCTGGGGAGAGGACCTGTAAGTGGCAGTAAAAAAACAGCAGAAGAGAAAGATCGGGACCCCACCTCTGGACCAGATTACCAGCAATACACATTGATTGGCAGGTAAAACAGCTTCCATACATGCATTTCATCTGTGTATTTAGAAGCTTGCCTGGAGTTCAGATTTGAGTAAGCTGTAGCAAGCAACAAAATCAAATCCTGCTTGATTATCAGTTCAGTAAAGGCTACAATCAAGATTTTTTCCTACCTACAAGAATAGCTTCTTGATTTTGCTGTAAATAAAAGCTGGAGATTCCAAATCTACCATCAACATTGTTTTTTTGTTGTTTTTAAAGCAACATTTTTTAACGCACACCTTTCACTTTCATGTCGGCACTGACAAATATCAGTGGGAATGGTCACAGCTTTCCACACAAAGGCAAAACCTCTAGAAGAGCTCATGTCGATGGGCGTGGTTTTCCTGTGTATGAAACACTCATGAAATGCAGGTCGGCAAAATCCCATTCCTTTAATTGAGCGGTACACAGTTCAGAGGCTGCTTTTTGACCTGCTTGTGTTGTTCTGCTTTTCTTTGGATGCAGCATGTCCTACTTTTAAACTGCCGGAAAAGCAAGTCAAACTCTGCATTTAACAAGCATGCTCGTCAACAGGAACCCTAAATATGATCATTGATAAAAAAGCAACAACAATTAACATGATATCATAGACTGTTATTTCAGACACAAGGAAAACCACTGCAAAGAACATGTCTTTTGGCTGGAGCTAGGTTTTTTTTTATTCAACAACAAACAGTACAATGCTACCCTACAATAAAGGGGACAAGCAGTGGCTCTTACACTCTTTGCTTGTGCAGGCTTTCAGCAAATGTTCAGCACCCATCTGTCATAGTACCTGCTGCAGTACATAATGCAAACAGGAATGAAGCAGGGTATATATCTTTTTCTAAAATTCCAATAAAATGTTTAACATTACTTAAAATATTTGTTTTTAGGTTTTATGTTTCCATACTTAGCTGCTATGTGTCCGATTTATATGCATTTCACAAGTTGTTTTAAAGCATCTTCCTTAGAAACTGCATAGAACTAAACAGAACTAGTAAAGGTGAACTGTACTTAAAGCTGAAGTACCCGTTTTTGGTGAAGTCCACTGTGTTGAAGCATATGCTGGCTACTTTTATTCTCGGGCTTCAGTTTTTCTAGTAGTAGTTTTAGTGTCTTTGCCCCCTTCCATAAATAGGACACGTGTGACTCTTCAGCAGCTGGATTACCCATTTGTTTATTCTCTGGAGAGTTTAATACCATTATGTGGCTTTGTAATTGCCACAGCAGGCAGTCTGCTAGGAAGGTTTTGCCACTGGAGGCCCCAAGAGATGCAAAGTCAGCATGTGATCCAATTACGCACAAGATTTTCTTGTTATTCCTTCGCTGGTAAATGCTTAGTGTAAACTGACAGGATGATTACATAGGTTGATTTGTTGATCTGATTTCCCATGATTTGAGGCTACATTATCTCATTGTAAAAAGGGGCACATGGCCATCTGAATTACAAAGCAGATGTAATGGCTCCCCACTGTACTGGATCTGCAATATTCCCCCTGGTGTGCCCATGCATTCAGCGTTAATGTGAATCCAGTCTAAGCGTTCCAAAGTGGGGGAGCCGCTGATGACTAAAAGGTACCAGAAAGCATTTTAAAGGCCACATGCAGTAACAAGTTAACACCAGCTGCTCATGAACAATTTAATCTACCATGTGTCAAATGCCTCCAGTACTTTCTTGGAATTTGGTAAACAGTTACTCAGCCTTGAGAAAATGGTCAAATGGGTTTAAATTGGGGCACCAGGAGTGAGAACAAGCAGTTTTGACTGCAAAGAATGCTGCACAACAACCTCTCTATGGCCACCAGAAAACTAGCTTCTTCTCAACTGCTGGCATGTGTGCGATTAGCCACATCTTTCATGTGCTCGGCAGGTTGGTTTAAGGTTACTGTATTTAAGAATTATCACCTAAAAAAGCAACAGTTTAGCTTTGATACACTCCTCCCCAGCATCAAATATTGGTGCATTCTTAACTACCCCATTGCTCTGTTCAGCACCAGGAGCAAAAGAAGACACCCAGAATTTCAAGGTATGGAGGAACCTGCGACTCACTCCATGTAGCAGTGCTGGGTCAATCACACCAGGAGGCAATCGCCCTGTGTTAGCTATGACTCTAGTGTCTCGTAGCCTTCAAAGGATTTCCTGGTGACTAAACGGAGAGGTGCTGGACTGAAAGGAGGGCAAATATGTGCTGCTAGGGAGGGCTACATTACAGTGAACCAGTTGGTTTGGCCTGCATGGACAAAGCACATATTCACTGATAAATAAAAAAAAAAAAAATGGGAAAACGAGTAATACTTATGCAGCATAATATCTCTGCTGCTGAACAGAATTAAGCATTTATGTTCTCTACACAATTTTAACCTGAATGATTAAAACCAAACACCAGGTCTTCCCACTCCAATTCTAAGTACTGCTAAGAGGTAATGAGGTCTAGATTTCATTACAGAACCTTAGGTGTTTCGACATAGACCATCATAAAAGATGAATATTTGGATTTACTTTCCTACAGGGTACTTTAGCTTTTTTGGGGGCTTAGATGCAGTAATGTTTCAGTTCAATAAACAGAATCATGTACATTGTTTCAAGAGGTAAAAAAAAGTGGATTCTGCAGCAATTAAAAAGAGACTTTAGGTAGTTGAAATAGGTTCAACACAGTAAGCGTGACAATGAAAGAATTCAATTCTTTCCTCATATTGTTTCGTACAAATGCAATCTAGTCTCAGTTTAGAACCCAACGTCATCATCGGTTGAAAACTGCAGGCACAAAGAATGCACATATTGCATTGTTGAAATTGCTAATTAAATCATGGAAAGGATAACCTGGAATGGTATAGCGGAAATGTATTTTAGACCGCAAGTCGTGCTGCTTTGTGCCAATACCCTAGCAGTGTCTTACATATGTATAACAAGACAGTGGCTACCAAAAGCTCAACGTGAAGACCTCACAGCTTCACAGCCACAAGCGCAGGTTCACAAACCCCTTTTCATATTATGAAGCACAGCAGGAGTAAGATTAATCTTGCACATCAAAGTAGTCTATTACAGGTTCTTCTCTTGGTGCTTTCTGTGTGCCTCCACTTCCTCCGTTTCTGAAATAAAAAACCCAATAAAAACACAATTGAGGCAACAGAAATATCTTTTAATGATCTCTGGGAGTGGCTTCAAATTAATGCTGTTTCAGACCCCTTATCTACATCTACTCAGAGAGATGCAACTTTCTGCAGCAATAGTGTTTATGGGACATCTATAGTGTTTATGAACATAACTTTTTTTTTCTTGTGGACAAGACTTACAAAAATTGTAAAATTATTTTCTCTTTTCTAGCCAACATTTTGTTTGCTTCTATGATATAAATCCTGTTTACAGAAATCAGTAGCTCAAGCTGAAATGCACATGCAAAAGAATAAGTGAAAGCAGAATTAGTGCATCACAGTGAATTGTCCCTTATCAAATGTCTCTGTATGAAGTTCAAACCATAGTCTCAAAGCAGAAAACAACCTCCTCTATTGTCTCAAATTTTAAATGATTGTAAACAATTATAAAAAGATTTTAACCTGTTCTTTTTTTACGTAAAAAGAACCAAAAACAACCTAAAAAAAAAGTGTCCCAAAACCCCTATCTTTTCTCTTTAACCCTTTCCCTGCCAAGGACGTATGGCATACGGAGGAACAAAAGTGTTCCCGGCTGGCCAAGGACGTAAGCCCCCGATAACCGCTATTAACGAAAATACCGGGCGTCCCCGCCGGCATCTGGAGTCTTAATCCCCGCCTGAAGCTGCTCCATGCAGGGATGAGAGACTCCATGGATCCCCACTGCTTTCCCCCACTTGTAGGGTCTGTGGCAGCGGAGATCAGATGAAAATTGGCCGGTGGGGGGGAGGGGCGGACGGAAGGCTGGCCGCAATCCCGGATGGCCGAGCGGTGTTCTGAACGGAGCCGCTATCATCCCGTGAGTTTTCGGATGACAGCAGCTCTGTAGCGTGGCCGAGCAGGGGATCGTAAATATCATTGATATTGAACGATCCCTCTGTGCAGAGCAAACCCGGTGTTTGTAAATAACTGGGGACACACAGTACTATGTGTCCCCAGTTATGAATGAACAGGCTGTGATTTACATCACTTCCTGTTCAGTCAAGAATTTATGAATGGGGAGTAGCACTCACTACAGAGGCTCCTCCCCATTCATAAACTGGTGGTAGCAAATATTGGGAGTGCTTCCTATTCATTGAGTGCTGGGGCTGCAGAAAAAGAAATTGAGGACTCAATTTCTTTTTCTATTTCAAAAGGGAAATGTCAGGGGTCTATTTAGACCCCAGATATTTCACCGCAGCTTTTGCGTACCATAATTTTTTTACCTTTTTGCAAAAAGGCGCAATTACAAATATTTATTTATTAACTCAAAACAGTTTTATCTTTTAGATTTAGTCAGAAAATAATTATTTTGTGCGCTGATACTGATTTTAGTGTGTTTTATCAATTGAATTGTGTATTTTTAATATTAATTTGAGAAACATTTGTGCAATTAATCGCACGGCCTACAAATTTAGTATCACCATCTTTTTATTCTACTGGGCCTGCGCTTTCAGAAAATATATGGTTTGGGGGGGGGGGGTCTTTTACAAACGCTAGCAACGCAGCAGTTGAAAATCAAATCAATGGGAAAAATTGTAAAAATGGCGTGGCCAGCTGAATTGGCAGCGAAAAGGTTAAAGCTGTGTTTTACCTACAGACCTCAAAGTACCCCCATGTTATTAGCAAATCATTCAGCTAAAACAGCTTGTGTGATTCCCATGTCATCGATAATGCCGATAACAGTAAATCAATTAAAGTGAGAGCTGCATGGGGGAACTGAATCGGGTAATAATTAGCAGTTTAAATCCTATGTAACCCCCAACGACATACTATTGCAAGTGCTTTTGTTATATCTGTTTGATAAGTGCAAAACATGCCTGTCGATCCTGCCAAAAATCTTGTGAGCTGATACATTTTGTGCTCTCTGCTTGTGCTGCATTCTAATTCTGTAGTCCTGCCCTAGCCTACCAATGTTCCTTGGATAAAGTATGGTAAGCGAACATTGTGTCACCCTAGTGCAGAAGTGTGCTACTGGCAAGATCACCAAGTGTTCAACCAAGATGGCGGCCGCGGCATCCGGACTAGGCCGGAGTAGAAGCCGGGGCCTCGATTTTTGCAGCCGCCCCGAACGGGCACCGAAGATGGAACGACATGCGGCCGCACCAGCCAGCTAGGCCGCAATAGAAGCCGAGGCCTCGATTTTCGGCCGCCCCGAAAAACGGAACGTACATGCGTCCACGGCAGCCAGCTAGGCCGCAATAGAAGCCGGGGTCTCGATTTTCGGCCGGCCCCGAAAAACGGAACGTACATGCGTCCGCGGCAGCCAGCTAGGCCGCAATAGAAACCGGGACCTCGATTTTCGGCCGCCCCGAACGGGCGACAGCAACCCCAGCAGCAGCTACTCCCAGGCACCCCTCCAGGACCATCTGTGTCCCCAGGCCAGGTCTGCTAATACTGCAAGACCAGGCACACCAGCCTCGACAGGCTGCTCAGCATGGAGGAAAAGGGAGGGGGGCCGAGGCACGTGAGGGAACCTCGGTCCCCAGCAGAACACCTCGCCAGAGCCCACAGCTACCTACATCCAGGCAGCCCGACAGAGCGTACTTACGACCTCCAGACAGGTAGCTTCCAGGAGACCCTCCGCACAGCCGCAGACAGACCCCCACATACATACCGCATCCAGAGGGGGAAACCGCCGGAACGCGAACCACCGCCATCCAGAGGGGCGACGACTCCTGGGAACCCACATGGCAGCCAGGCGTGCGGGGATGGCGGAAAAACGCCCCCGACCGTAGTCGCGGCGCCGCCAGCCTGCGTGGGGTACTGTGAATGGCAGGTCGAGACCCCCAGTCATGTGCACCCCACCGGGCCAAGAGACCCACAGGCGTCGAAAAGAACCATCGTCGCAGCCGACCCACCGTGGCGGGACTGCATGCGCTAGTCGGTCGCACAGGGGAGACTCCAAGGATCTACATTCATCCAGCATGTCGCCCTGGCGACACTTGCTTGAAGAAAACAGCAAACAAAAAGGAGGAAAATGCAAAAAAATTCCAGAGAAATTTTTTTAGCTCCTTACTCCTGACGCTAGGCAAAAAACTGGAGACTTGTCAGCAAGTGGGGGGTTTGGCCACCAGCAGGGGCCGCCCCTAGGCTGTCTTTGTCTCTTGTTATGTGCCTAGCGTCCTTCTCCTGCAGGTGGCGATATACCCTACCATTCAGGATCTACGATCTGTTGCCCTGTGTCCTTCAATGAACGGGAGAGAAAAGGACAAAAACCCCTGAAAAAACAATGCAGCCACATCTGCTTGCGACACGTAAAGTGCAACATACAAAAGGTTTGCTTTTGGGTTAAGATGTGTTCTGTTTTTTCTATACAGCGTGTTCCAAAATCTGGGGTACTCTGCAATGCAATTACAAGTCAAGTTTCCAGGTTGCTGGTCCCACTTTCTGCCAACTACATGTTTTACTATTGGTTAGCAGGACCACCCATCATAGTGATGGCCCAATAAGAAAGCACATGAGGTAGGAGGGGGCAGAGCCAGTCTCAGACATCAGGAAGTTTGGTCAGAAATTGTATCACAAAGTACCATTGGTTTTGTAAGCGCCAGGATGCTCTAAAGGGGAGCAGAAGTGATATGCAGACACCTGGAGCTCCATGCTATAATAAGACAAAAAGTTCAGATGCTTTAACTTAAACCACTCTAATTACTACATTCAACTGCAATTTGCATCATGAATTGTGCCCGATTGTGATCATCAGAACTCAAGAATTTGCAACTTTTGTTATATGCAGCATCATGCACACAGTGAGGGCTGTCTGAGTGTAGGTCCTGAATATCATAATCGATCCCTTGCTAATCATGAAGTGACTTATACAGTGGTCAGCAAGAGTTTATATTATGAGATCACTGACTCATGGCAAAACTTCTCCTCACCCTTCTTACCTAGGTTGCTTCACGTTCTCATCTACAGTGTGCTTCATCCACTCCTCTGGCTTAAAGGAAACCTGCACTGTAGAATAATGAAGGCTGCCACTGCTGACTGGAGTAGTTGCTCTGAATTTTCTCAAACTTTCCTGCTCTGAATGCTTGTTCAAGGTCAGTACTCACAGAGTATTGATACCAGAGACTACCAGGCAACCAGCAATTTCAGTACTTCACTTCCATCTTCCAGGAAATGTAATTCAGTTTAACAAGTTCTATTTCAGCTTTAAAACCCAACTTAAGTGTCGTCTCCCGGTTACTCTCTCCTTTTCCCCCTTTTTCTTCATTACCTTTATGTAAGAAAAACGAGGACAACTAAGGGCCCGACAGACAGTTTTTGCCCACTCTGACAAGCCAGACTTTTCAGATACTGGGTTACCTCATCACCGGCATTCTCTTATATACCTTCTGAGGTTTCGGGATTGTTTCCCCCCTTCCCCTCTGTCTTTCACAGACTGCAATTTGTGTTATCGACATTGAGTACAAAGTTTCGGTTTCTTTTCTTGCTTTTATTTTACATACTCCTTGTTACTCTGTACATTTAATACTCTGTTTTGAATTGCTTTTTCTTGTTTCTATTTGTGTCGTCCTTATTGGCCCTTGCTATATAAAAATAAATGTATTAAAAAAAAACAAAACGTGTCACACCTTTTTATGTGGTTATAGCTGTGTATCGCTGTATGTTAATAATTTTAAAGTGACACTAAATTCTGGAGTTAAATCTTAGAAATGCATTCAAATACCTTAGTTACTAGTAACAAAAATTTAGTTTATTTGTGTATCACTCAGCTGTAAATCCTCAAATCATCTCTGAATTGTTGCTGACACTGTCCTTCCTTCTGGAGGGTGGCTACTTTTGCTCCTCATGGTCCCTGTGTGTGTTGTAAAGTGGTCACCGCTACAAGCTCGCTCCAGTGATGGACTACAATCTCAATACAAATTAATCAACTAAACATGAGATTGTAGTCCATCAAAGGAGCGAGCTTGGAATAGTGGCTACTTTACAACACACACAGGGACCATGAGGAACAAAAGTAGCCACCCTGCAGAAGGAAGGAGAGAGTCAGCATCAATTCAGAGATGATTTGAGGATCTACAGCTGAGTGATACACAAATAAGCTAAAGTTCTGTTAATAGTTAGGTTACTTGAATTTATGAATAATATTTAACTCCTGAGTTCAGTGTCACTTTAATGGATTTTTACTTGGGAATGTCTTAAGATACATTTTACTCTTAGTGAAGATGCTGGAACTCCCACAATTGTGGGAATGATATACACAATAGTGTATATCATTCACAATTGAATTGCAGCGAAAGAGGCGTGTCTGGCCAAGTCAATTAAAGTGCACTGGACAGTGTGGTCAAACTCTGGTGCCCAATGGACTGCACAGTCATATATAGCCGCACTGTACATCTTCAATAACAGCAAAGTAGAGCTAAAACTAGAAATATGGAGGCTATTAGTGCAATGTTTGTCTGACTGAATATTTCTGCGACTTCAATTGGGTTTAAGGCTTCTTGCAACACTTGCATACTCAGAGCAAAACATATTAGTAGGACAGTGAGGTTGATTCACTGTTAGGTAGGCAAGTGTCACAGAAAGTTGCACGGTTTAGCTCTGTAGTGTAGCAAAGGTGTGTAAATCACACAACTAAATGAACAGCACTACAAATCCTTTAGGATGAAAACAGCTTACACACATGTATTTTTAGTGTGAGTTTTACCATCTTACAAAAAGAAAAAAAAATATATGACCCCAAGCCAGTATAGTTTGCCTTTGAAGAAATCATACCTGTCAGGCAGATGCCTGTAGTGAGCAATAGGGGGAGGAGGTTTGGCCTGGATCTCTCTTTCCAGTACAGCCATGAGAGAGATATTTGGACACGTAGATTTCCCCCTAAAAAGAATATTGGAAAAGCACAGTAAACAAAAAACACTAGTACAACAAATTTTCTCATCTAAAAGGTCACTACACATGGCTGCAGCAACTTCAAACCACCATTCAGTTACTTTCTCACATCTAATGAATCAACATGCCTTATTTTGCAAACTCTGGAATCAAGACGCCAAACTCGTCTAAAACCTGTTTATTTATTAAGAGAGTTCAGGCCTTCAGAATATATGTGCATTCACCCACCAGTATGAAAGTGTCTTGCTTGCATTTGTACTATAAACTTGCTGACACCATGCTGTTACCTGCCTACAGACATTAGATAACATGTGTCTGATCCAGTGCAGGTAATGTTCGAATGTCTGTAGTCCCTACATGAAGAATGAAGATATTCCCCTTCCTAAAAACTTTCTTGAGCAAAAACGGATAGCCTCACTCTGCATATGGCAAGGAGAGAAAGCTTGTGTGCCAAAGACATAACCAGTTAAAGCCTCCTGTCCAAAATCATTACAACTATAACAAGATTACATTCACTAATACATATAAAACTTACTTTATAGCAGTGATGACAACATTGCGCTTGGGTTCACTGTCATAGCTCACACTCTCAACCCCATAAACCTCTGCTAGGTCATGGATAATCTTACGATGATCTCTGTTCATTGGGGGGAAACAATGGCTTTTTTTGGTTTGTTTTCCCTGAAAAGCAATAGGAATAAAACTAAAAAAAAGGACATACAGTGTGCAAGCGTAATATAACAAACCATTTTAGAACAAAAAACAGTGAACACTATCCAAGGGCAATCAACGAACCTTGTTTACAGCATCCACAAGTGATTTTATTTCCCTCTCAATCTCAGAGACAAACTTCAGGTCTTTTCTGTAGATTACAAGATCAAAAGTTAAAAGAACAAGACAGCTACACCTATATATAAAGCAAATATAACTCAAGTACAATTCTACCACTAAGAGTGGCCACGCATATTGCATCTGCTCCAAGATGAAATAGGCCTTCTCTCATCAAGAAGAAAAGGAATGTTTCATTGTATTTAGTGTTGCCTTTCCATGCCAGAACACGCAGGCAAATCCATCAAAGCTATCACTACACCGATGACTTTGGCCTTCTGCTTTTGTGAGATCCAACAACTTATTGGCACCTGATTTGCAGCACACTAGGATTAATATTCTGCTTATGAGATAATTGTCCACAAGTAGTTCAATCTCTCAGTAGAAAAGAAATGTATTTGGTCTTGTAGCCCTAAGACCCCGTTCACATTGAGCGATTTATCGTGCGGTAATTCCCGTGATATCGGGGCAAATTACAGCGCGATATCGCACTCCAATGCAATCCAATGGGGCAAAGGGTCCTGCTGTCGCGGGTCGCTACGGCAGGACCCTTTTTGGAGCGGATTTAGCCGCGATTCAAGCTTGCTCAATGCAAGCTTGAACGCGACATCACGCGGCAAATCTCGCGATGTCGCGCAATATGCAAATCGCGCGACAAACGCGCGATTTGCATATCGCGCAGTGGGAACGGGGCCTAAGCAAAACTAAGTGAGAACAGAACACTGGCAACCTTGACAGTTGGAATGCCTTGAAAGTAACCGTTTTGGGAGACCAATTGGTCTAGTTCCGCTTGAGACCAATCTAGTTCCGCTTGAACAAAGCTACTTGTTGAAAGCTTTGCAGATTCTTTCTTAAAATTTGCTATTCATTTCTAATCTTGCACAAGCCAAAGCCTGTGGAGGGAATTTATCAAAACTGAGCAGTTGCCTATAGTAGCCAAATCAGCATCAGTTTATTCAGTTAAGTTTTGAAAAAGAAAGAGCTGATTGATTGCCTCGCACATTTTGTCTGTTCCAGTTTTGATAAGTACCCCTCTATGTGTACAAGGCCTAACTAAAATGAAAGCAGCCACAAAGACATAAAATTCCCAAGCATGAAGTCCTTACAGCATTAGTTCATACAATTAATGAATTGTTAAAACCTATTAACTGTTTACACATATGGTAGAATTGAAATATGACCTGTATGTGATCGCTGTCATAGCTGTTCATAGCAGGGGACTGGATGCAGACATAGCATACCTTTCATAAATTCCAAATGATCTTAAAGAAGAACGCCAGGCAAAAGTGTTCTTAACCCTTACAGTGATGCGACCCTTGCATTGCAAGGGTTAAGTGCTCATTTTAGTCAAGGTGCTAAAAGAAAAGTTATACTCACCCAAATCGCTGAGCAAGATGCCTGCTTCCCCGGTCACTGAAGCCTGCCTCCTCGTGCACTGCAATGTCCCTTGACGTCCTCATTGTATAAAGATAGTAATGATTTATGGGACCTTAGACTGGAGACAGGCTCCAGGGACCGGTCTAAGAGCAAGCCAACTCAGGGTTGGGTAAGTATAACTTTTTTTTTTTAACCTAGACAAAAATGAGCAGTGAACACTTTAAATGTCATATACAATTATTTTGAAATATAGAACGCTTCCTTTTAGGGCCTGTTCACACCAATAGGCAGTGCGTTCCCGGCCGGAATGCACTGCATTGCTGCCGTTTCAGTATTTCGTGGGGCTGGAGGGGGCGTGGCTGTCCATTGAAGTGAATGGCGCCGTAGCCACGCCCTCCGGCCGCAAGGCACATTGCGACTGCGGTCCGGTGCAGGTAAATAGTGCTTGCAGCATTTTGACCGCACCGCAGGCACAATGTGCGCTGCGATCCCGGGCGGGCGTTCGCATTGCGGCTGGAGGGCGTGGCTATGGCGCCATTCACTTCAATGGCCCGCCCCCTGCTGCCTGGCAAAATAGTGTGCCGGCCGCAATGCGATGCAGTGCGTTGGAGCACACTGCATATGGTGTGAACAGGCCCTCAGACATGGATGCAATGTCAATGCGTGCCATCAGGAAGAAATCACTGGACATTTACAAACCTTGCATCATCTTTCAGGCTATCACTGTACTTTGTCCCAGAACGAGTATTAAAAGGATCAGAATTCTCAGTTATATTCAGGGCTTCTGCCAGACGTCTGAAAAGTGAGAAAGCAAACACCTTGTCATTTGTCTTATTCTGCTCACAAATCTATAGACCAGCTTTGGTAGACAAAAAATAAAGCAGCAAGATTTTCGACTTGCACAGCATCTTCATGTTTCTGTAAAATAAAAGAACTTCAGATCTTGTGCAACCATAGATAGGATGAATTCTATGAATCTGTGGCAAAGATTCTATGACCATTCTTCACTGAACTACTGCTGTCCAACAGAATAACTATGGGGCTTTTTTTTTTTTTGAATGTGCAAACAGATTTTTGGTGTAACCTGAATTTTGTAATTTGTATTCTTTTATTGACTGACAACGTATATAACACGTAGAATACAAGTATGGACATTAGTAAACAGTATACATACACTTGTAATTTTTTTTTTTTTTTTTTAAAGAATGCCAGTTTCATAATGCGACTTTTGACTGTAAATCTTTTCACCATGGGACATTAGCTCAGCTTCAAGGACTGCATTGTATTTCATCAAGCACACTTAATTTGGATAAAGGTGCCGTACAAGGAAAATGCTGCAATTACATAAACACTGCTCAAACTTTATTCTGTACACTATCCAACAATGTTTTCTGATAGACAGATGTCTAGGGCAAGCATGGAACTAGACACCAAAGGAAAGGAAGCAGGGTTTAGCAATATGCCTTCAACTACTATCAGCTTCATAATGGTCTTCAAAAAATAGCTATCTAAGAATACGCATTTTATAATAAATGCATGCACCAAATCCTGTTTTCTATAAAGGACATTTGTCCTTCAGCTTTATATTAGAAGACAGATTTCACAGTTGTGATGCTTTTACATGAAACACTTATTTTCTCAACACCCTATGGAGAAACCTCCTTTTTTAAAGTGTACTGTACGTCAATGCAAATCCTGTTAAAGGAGAACTATGGGGTCAGCGTTCTCCCCATAGTTCTCCTTAGGGTAACGGGAGGACACAAACTAGCGTCCTCCAGTTACCCTAAGCTCAGTATACCGCGAGCTACAGCTCGCGGTATACTGAGACGCCACAGCGGATCCCGACGTAGATGACGGGATCCGCCCAGCTGCGTGAGTGACAGCTGGCTCTGCCTATCTAGAGGCAGAGCCAGCTATACCCGCCCCCTCCCCCGTCCGTTCCGCCAGTCAGCGCTGGCAGATCGGAGCGGGGAGAGGGGAATCCAGCCCTCCCCCTGTCACGGCAGGGAGCCGTGACAGGATCGAGAGGTGAGCGAGCCTGGTATGTGTTCGCTCACCTCCCGATCTACTGAGCCGACCTGTGACAGTCTCATTGTCACAGGTCGGCTAGAACTATGAGGTGAGTGGAAATCACTCATCTCATAGTTCTCCTTTAATGTGAAAAACGCAATCTTTATTTTACCCCAGACATCGCGTAAAAGAGTAAATCCATATTATGGCTTCCTCGGGACTTCCTCATTTACGGTGATAATGCACACCAACTGCCTTTCAAAAGCAGTGTTTGAGCCGTCACTCTCCTATGCATGCTCCTGTTATTAGACTACAAGAAGCCATGCTGAATTACTTTGTGTCTTTTCTCTATTGTTTGTTCCTACATCATTCAGCTCACAGTCAGTCACTCTCAGTCTACTTCAATGGCAGCCTGGAAAAATTATTGCTGAAACATGTCCAGTCCCTATGGTGACTGCAGTGGCTTTCAAGCCTGTCTACAGCCCTTGCCAAATACTGTGCACAGTGAAAGGAAGTAGTGTTGTGGCCACTAGCAAAAAGTACTTTTAGTCATTATTTTAAATCCCTTTCATATAGAGTTTAATTCCTAGATGGACACAGGGTAACCCCCCCGTGTTTCTACAGGTGTGCTTTACATCGACTTTAACCTTGGAACAGCATAACACAGGAGAAGCCTGGAACTAGTATACAGCTTACACTCATATCTGCAAATACATGCAAGTAAAACCTCTGTTTTTATTATAAATGAGAAAAATGGTTTAAATATACTGTATCATCTATGTTGGCAATTCAAAGAGAGAATTGTTCTAAAAAAATGTTGTATTGCACAGGAAGTAAGTTGACCTTTCTGCTGTGTGCATCCTTAGCCATCTAGTATAAAAATGTATCTTGCTCACCTAGTTCTGCAGTTTTCACAGAACACTTCTGCCTTCATGCCAAGTTGTAGGGGCAGCAGGCTTATTAGACCAGCCCCAGGATAATTCCAGCCCAGGCTTAAGTTCTTATTGGTGAAATTAATTTATCAGGCCAAGAGAGATGCAGTATATACTGTAATCCCCATGTTTGTTCCCAGTCTAAGATTCTCCTCAACAGAATATGCATTAAATAGCTTCAGTAGGCCCATGCCATGATGCATCTGCAGAACCTAACAACTAGTTCCTCAGCTGACATGACCTGCAACTTCAAAATCAGAGGTACTCTATACCTGCCATGTCTTTAACACCTTTTGCTTTTAATGCCATATAGCTCCATAACTTAAATGCAGCTTAAACAGGTTAGTGTATTTCATGATTCAACAATAAAGACAATAAGCAGTAAATGGTGATTGTACCAGGGGCGGACTGGGCCGGGGGGCAATTGCCCCCGGGCCTCTCTGCTGCCTTTAAAAACAGCCCCTGCCCGCGGCCCGTCACTGGCCTCCGCTAAAAGAATTATCCAGCCACCGGTGCAGTGGCTCCCTCCGCCGCCACTTACAGAGTGCAGAGCCGCTACAGATGCAGCTCTGTACTCGGCGGCCCCTCGCTACTGAAGGCTGACCTCGGAAGGCCCACGCGGTCGGCCCTCTACAGTGCCCGATTAGATCCAGCTAGCTCGGATCGCATTGGTATGTGATCCAGGATGGCTGGATCAGGCTCTGTAGATGGCCACCCACGGGGGCCTTTCGAGGTCAGCCTTGAGGAGCTCTCACGTTTGCCGCTGCTAGACCCACCCGCCTGCATCCACGCTCCACACCTCCTCCCTGCCCGCCTACATCCATGATCGGCACAGGGACGTGGGGAGAAGTAAGGAGTAGCAGGTGTGGGGGATGACAGCCGCCGACAGACAGGCCCGATCTCAGAAGCAAGTTGCTGGAAGACTGCTCAGGTAAGCCTGCACTTCCCCCCCCACATGGTGTTCTATAATGCATTGCTGGGATTTCTTGTAATCCTCTATAGCTGGTGGTATTCTGCATTGCGCTGTATAGAGGACTACAAATCCCAGCAATAATATATTATACAGCGCAATGCAGAATACCACCAGCTATGGAGGACTACAACAAATCTCAGCAATAGTACATTATACAAAGCAATGCAGAATACCGCCAGCTATAATGTACTATTGCTGGAGGTATTCTGCATTGGCTGTATAATGTATTATTGGGATTTGTAGTCCTCTATAGCCGGTGCCATTCTGCATTGATTGCTGTATAATTTTACACTTTCCATTTCACTATATTGCACACCACACTTTTTTTTTTCTTCCACCGCTCCAAGCTTGCTCCTGTGATGGACTACAATCTCAATACAAACTAGTAGTCCATCACTGGAGCCATATTTTTATCCCGATTAACCGGTTAATTGAACTTAATAATCGGCTAACTAATAGATTTTGAAAATAATCCTTAGCTGCAGCTCTAGATAAATGGTCACCGTACACCAGGGATCCCCCACTAACCACCAGGGATCCCCCACTGGCCACCACAGAGCCCCCAACTAACCACCAGGGAGCCCCCAACTAACCACCAGGGAGCCCCCACTGGCCACAGTGGAGCCCCCACTACCCACCTGGAAGCTACCACAGAGCCACCACTGATTAGGGTGCCCCCA